AGCCCTGCCAGTGACTCGTAGGAGGGCAGGGAGATGCTGATCCTGTTGCTCCTGTCCAAGTCTCTGGGCTCAGAGTAGCCCGCGTTCATCACCTCCTCGTAGCTGGGGACGTAGTACTGGGAAGACACGTCTTCGTCCTCTTCTTGACTAGGGGGGGAACACATGAAGACTATCAGTAGCACATCGTTTCAGCTTCACTAGGGGCAGGGAGCAGAGAATCAAAAGCAAAACCACCCAAACAAATTCTTTGCACTTCTACATTATACACCAGCTCCTTTCAGCTTGCCAGAACGGTTCACCTCCCTGCCTCTTTTCAGACACGTTTCTATTTCCTTGCGACGTACGTCTGTCTTTGACCATCGCTCCCTTTGCCCACAAAACCTCTTCAGACATTGCACAGCAGTAATCTCTTCCCCCACCCCAGCAGAACACTGCCTTCGCCCCTCGACAAAACAAAGTACCTTTCCAGGGGACATCACTGCTCTCTGTCTTTGCCATTCCCATATCTTTCGGCTTGGGTGTCAACCCTACCCCTCTGCACAGGCACGGCCCACACCGGGCACCGCACCGATTCCCCACACCGCCGAGACGGCCGGGGACTTCTGTGTTTGTTCCGACCGTGCCCGCCGCAGCAGCAGCCTTTGCTCTGCTCGGCGGAGTTCCCCGAGCAAACAGGAGAACCCTGAAGACTTTCACCGGGTCTAAACTCCACATCCAGCCGCTGCTGCAGCTGGAAGGCTGCTGGGCACCTCAGCTGCGCCCAGCAAGACAGCACACCCTGCGTCTCCCGCTCCTCTCCCTCCACAGCCCCTCGCCCAGCTTGCAGCAGCCATCCTGCTCTCCTGCGTTAACCATTAACCACCGCTCCCGGCATCGCCTCTCGGCACGCTGCTCGTGTACTGACAAAGCAAGGAGTGGCACGTCTCAGCAAGGCTGGCTTAGCCACGGCTCCATCTGCACCCCGGCTCACACACCAGCAACCTACAGCACCATAAATCCAGCTGGAGTCATTCCATCCTGATCTCCAAAGGATACTTTAACCCTTGCCTTTACTTTAGCACACGCTGCTATCAACCTTACTCTCCTCGCTCCTATCTCCTCGAAGCTGACTAACTGCTCTTGTTTCATTCCTACACTCGATCCCGCTCCCTTTTTCCCCGGAAAGGCTCACCTGTCCTCCTGGTGCGAGGGCTCTGCAGATGCCTGGTGCTGTACGCAAGCGATGTCTTCGCTTTGCCTCTTCTTGTCCCGGATATTCAGGCAGATAGAAAGCAGCAGCAGCAGCACGCCCGCCCCCACCAACACGTACGCCACCGAGAAGGTCTTGCTCTTCAAAATGCCCCCGGTGCCGCGGTCGGGCTTGCTGCTGTTCCCGGCGTGGGTGGTGGGTTTGTCGGCAGGGCCGAAGCCGGGGACGAGGTTCCAGACGGCCATGATGATGCCGAGGACGAGCATCCCCAGCCCTATCGCCGGTGCGTCCCGTTGGCCCGAGACTGGGCCATCGCTCCTGCTGCTGGCTGGCCGGCCGGGCTGCCCCCACCTTACAGCATGGGACGGGCGCAGGCCTGCTAGCATGCGTGCGGTCCTCTCCCACGGCAGGCGGCGAGATCTGGGAAGAGACCGAAAGTGACAGTTAGTGCACGGCGGGACGTGAGCGCCACACAGCTACCGTTTCGGTGGCCACGATAACATCGTCTCGTTCTGCTAATGCTGGAAATCTAATTCCACCGCGCCTGCGGAGAGCACGTCAGGATAGAAGGCGACAGTCGGCAGCAGGGTCCTTGCTGGCGATTCTCATTGCGATCCTTTGCTGTAATTTCCACTGACCTTAGAAAAGAACCAAATTACTGCTAACATTTGCTAGGGACTTAGACTGACCGTCCTTAGGAGCACGATAACTGACCCCTTCCCAGCACCAATCTCAATCCCACTGCTTAGAGAAACGCCCCACGCTCGATGGAGCTGCGCTGCTTTAGCTTCTGTCCGTCCAAACTAAGCAGGAACTGCTCAGAAACAAATCTCGAGCTGTACAACTTCTCCTTTTCCCCTGTTCGAGATGGAGCTGGGCTGCTTGTGGCACTGGCTGCCCGCCTTGCAACGCCTCCCCGCCTGGAGAAGGGAAAGCAAAATCGCAGCTCTCCCAGCCAAGCCAACTCTGTGGCTTCCCCCGGCTGCTGCCTGCGAGGGCTGCTCCAAAATCAAGTGTCCTTCGCTTGCTTCTGGCCAGCGCTCGCCCACCCTGGAGGAACACACGCTGGCGACGAGCCCCGTGGCCGCATCCCGCTGATCGCAGCAGGCTCGGGGCTGTCTGAGCACCGTTGTTCCCAACCAGCCGGACCACGGGTGGCAACTCCTCCTCCTCCTCCACCGCCTCGACTCAACATCTGCATCTTCTGAGTCGCCAGGACCAGATGCGCTCGCTTTCCAAAAATAAACACGGGGAACTGCATCTCCTGGCTGCTCGCCTCCCTGACCTCGGCTTTGCAAGACCGACA